AACTAATTTCCCATTTTGGTCCTACTGGGAATCGAACCCTGGACCTCCTCATCCAGTACCCACAGTATAAGCCATTTGGCCATTGTCGTGATAATGATTAAAGCTCCTAAATAAATAGTTTCTAAAAAGTCAAGAAAGCGTAGTACATATTGGTTTGAAACATTTATATGTAAGGATCCCGTTATTCAAACAAGAACCAGTTACGACATAAAATCCTTGAGCTGCCCCGACTCTCCTGTTATACCTGTTGAAATTCTGCCCTTGACTTCAAGCCACACAATGAGCAAACAAACAACCATGAACGAAAACAACTCTGCCTTTTGTACCAGAGCAACAAAGGTATGAAACTATCGATTAGATCCGTAATTGTAATCCTATTCTATTGAATAGCAACGATAACTACATTCCTACTTATCCAGGAACGTATATGAAGTCATGTTTAGTTATTTCTTCTTCATACAATAATGTTTAGTTATTTCTTCTTCATACAATAAAGTGAACAGTTAACATACTTTTGATATATAGACTGTTTTATTGGATTTTGTGATAAGTTCAATAAAAATAAATAAACTAAAATAAACAATAAAAATAAAATCAAATAAACAGTTACATAGGTCTAATTTGCAATTCAAAACTTTAACGACGAGTTAAAAATAAGGTTCGTGACCGATTTTGATTATTTTATATATTTCTTTTATAGTCTTAAAATGTTAATGATTGCTAAAAAATATTAAAAACCAATATTGATTTCGTAAATTTTCATGGATGCTTTTTATATTTGCATATTCCCAAAAACCCAGACGATTACTTGTTTTATTGATACGTTTTTTTTAAACTCCTTATTCTCTCGGACTCGGAAAAGACGCAGTTTCCTATCAGAAGTGGCAATCAAAATCAAACTGAGGGAGTAGACCTCCTGATACGATTTGTAGTGCGAAACCGATACGACGCTCTAAAAAATTTGTCAACTGCTAGTTAGGACGATTCGATATAAGCATACTTTAATTGAGAAGTATATTACTGAAACGGTCGACGACGAGCTCAATTAAAAAGCGACCGTTAACGGTCACCGGGTGATATCAGCAAAGTGAACTACATGTGTACATCACATATTATGTTAGCGCTCGTATCGCTCCATATTTAGTCCGTTAACTACAGTTGATTTATTTTTAGCAATGAGCAAATTGTAGGACATTCGAGGAGTATATTTATCATACAAGATATTCCTTTGTAACTAAATTACATTCTAACTTAATTTTGATTGAAAAATGTGCTTAATAAAATCTCTAATTCTAAGGATTTTAAAATACAACTAAGTAGAATTTCATTTTTTATCATGTCATGTGACGGGAGGAGCAAGTTCCATAACAGTTGCAGTACCACCGAGAGCTTTAAATCACAAACACCTGAGGCGCACTGCCACGGTCACCCTGAGGCATAAGTAGACAAGTCCCATGTGCCTGTAGTTCCACAAGTACCCTTGCCCTTAAAATCAGGAACGCAGTATTGCTCACATTACTGTTTAGCGGCAGAAATAGGTATGGTAGCAGTACTTCCTTGGATGAATTCTTCTCACAAGGGGCCCTACTGCTAGGAAATATAATATTTATATTATTACAGTATATTTATTATAAACTATTTTTTTTTATGATTGCGATAGGTTAAGCAGAGAAAAACATATGTATAGGTCAGAGGATCTGAGTACAGAGAGAGACAGGTCATTAAGAGTACCATTTACGAAGAAGGAATGCTACACAATGGAGTGATGTTCCGTTCCACGCGCTGACGAAGTAATGCTAGAGTTGAGCCTACCAAGATGGTACTACGCACAGGCGAAGCATTTCTGATTATAATTCACGCCTACCATTAAATCACAATATTTTGATAAATAACAAGTATTTTGCACGTTTTTCTTCCAGTGGTGTAGGAGAATGCATCTCCACGACACGGATCTATTTATTCATCTTTTCGCGAAATTAGGTAGTACGTTTTTATGTAATCTTCAATGAACAAAAGATGCTTGAAATGGTCATCATGAATATTATTGTATCGTAGTATCTCTGAAATTTCTCAAGATAGAATTCTCAAAGTCGTATGCGTACGCTGAGTCATCATTATCGAGTGCAAACTGGTTGCAGGTATTATTCATACCTTTATCCACACCTGTGTATAAATATGACACTCAATGGATCTCAGCGTTGACATACTTGATTACTGTTCTCGATTAAAAATTCTTTCAGCTTCATTGAGTTCAACTACGAGTAGCAACAAAAAATATCGTATTTATAAAAATCGAATGCGTCAATTGAATTGCAAAATATATCGGAATTAGTTTCCCGTATTCAGTATCGACAGTGGAAATTTGAAATGTCGTAAGTAATATATTGCAGTAATGGAAAATGTTCCTTACTACAAAATCTCGCTTACGACGTTTCAAAATTCGATGCATCGAAGAAATTATTACTCTTATATCGACAGTGGAAATTTGAAATATCCTAAGAGACATTTTGTCGGAACGTCATGTTCGCTTACGATAAAATGTCCCGTACGACTTTTAAAATTTCCACCTTCGATATATGTTTACTACGAAGGTGTGCGGTGGCGGCGTCAGAACGAAGCGCGATGTAATGATTATTTTTAGCGGTACCGATGCGCTCGACCGGATCAAGTTCAAGTTTATTGTTATATCCGCCTATTTGTCTATGTACGAGCTAATTTATTATTTACTTATTGATAACGAGCTACGCACTTTCTGCTTTAGTGCCTCTCAGTTCAGCTGAGTGAAAATGGCATACCTCTGCGAGCCTCTAATTGAAAATACCTCGCGATGTTTCAGATTTCGTAACAATTTGCTTTCCAATGATTCGTCGTCATTACTATCACTTTTTAGTCTTCGAATAGTGAACATATTATTTCTGTACCGTTATTGTGTTTGTAATGTCTACATTCAATAAACATAGCGTTAATAAGATTTTATCTTAGAACAATGTGTTTCCTTCACAAATAAAGATTTCCTTTGACATGTACCTTGAAAGCAACCATGTTCATTGAGCAGACGCGTGTTTCCGTCTTTTTGTTATTGTACGATTACCTATAAGGAATTGTGTGAAATTGGTTTCCTCGCTGTCCCGGCATTGACCTGCTAAAGCAATGTTAACTGGTATACAAGCGAGTGCCGAATTACTGAATATCACTTTACCCTCCCACTTAGCAATGACAGCAACTATATTTACCACGAAATGTTCATGAATATTCAAAGAGGACATAGTCATTGACTCTCATTGTACCGATAGACAGGTTAATTAATTAGTTGATTTATTCATTACGTTGTTCTTTGTCTGTTTATTATTTCTTAGCTCCACTCAGTTTACATTTTTAGTTATTTTAGACTATAAATAATTGTGTTCTACTGCCCTCAACCGATTCACAAATCGTCGACGTCTGTTGCCAGGAAAAACGTCTCGCTTCTCTGTGTTCAACGAATTAAGTTTTTTATCTTTATTTTTGGCGACTGATGCTTCAAAGTTGCACTTTAATTCTTATTGTTGTTCGATTTAGCAATTCGACTAAATTGTCTATCCGAAATTCTTTCACACTTAAGACTCAGATAAAATATTTCAATGGCCCGGATATAGGAGTGTCACTTATGATTATTATTAAGCATCTATTAACGATAAGATTACTAAAACAAATGGCGTAAAGTATATCGGCTTCACGTCTTTTGAATAAAATACAATTATAAAAACATAAACCAAGCTTCATATTAATTAAGTAAAGAAATACGATTTTCATTGATAATGTTGTTTCAAACTAGAGAGAGTTGTTGATTTTTACGAGACAATAAGAGGCGAGCGTTGTAGTTGGCAATTGTAGGGCAATGTAGCGAACTGTGAACAATACGGCAGTGAACGATGGAATTCGGAAACGTAAACATGAAAATTGAGCGTATATGTTTTGTAAACTTTAAGTTGATCAGCTGAGTTCGGTCGGAGAATTAATAAGTAATGAGAACGGACACTCTCCGCTCCCTAGCTTGAGATACCGCACCACACCCCGCACATTGACGGCCACATTGACTGAACGAGTACAAGGCTGTCGGTGAGCCGATTTCGCGCTAAGACGGCTTTGATGTTTGCATATAGTTTTAATTTATTCATTACGAAATTTGTACTTTTTGTATTTAAATTTGTATAATGGTCGTGAATTGTGCTGTGTACGGTTGTTTATAACTAACTAAACGGGATAAAGAGAGGAGTTTCTTTCGTTTTTTCAAAGATAGTCAGTAAAAAAAGTCTGAGACTCAGTTATTGTTTTCTTTAGTGCAGAGCAATATATAATACAGATTTATTATATCAATATAATAAGACGCCATAACTTCGTGAGCTAGACAAGGGTTCTAGAATTTTCAATTTGTATTGCCGATAAATATTACGTAGTGAATATACCTAATTATTAACTAGGTAATGATAAAGTTGGACACGCAATTTCAAATATTTTGGCTACCTCATTTAAAGGTACCTGTACAAAAGATAACATTTTAAGTGCTTTTAATATACTTTTTAAATAAATCTTCAATATTATTGTAATAAAAAATATAATATTATACCGATATAAATACGTAATGAACATGTGTGATTATTAGGATTCTATAATAGAATTATAGATAACAAGTTGCCGCTCTGACCACGTAATGTAATAGTACGAGCAAGTGATTGGTAGGTAATCCTGCCACTTTACGCACACATTTGCGCGTGTGCAAAGCGCCTTGCTGTATATAGTAGTAGTAGGTAAATAATTTTCGACCGTTGTATGGAGTGTTCGGCGTGTGGTTCGGTAGCCACGCTTAGTTTATGTCATGGCACTTTCTATTCTTTAATTCATGACTCGACTAAGTTGCAAAAATCTACGCAAAGGTTTTTCAATATTTTTGTACAATCAAAAATGGCTTAATGTTTACTGCTATTGAAAATGGAGAAAAAAGTATTTCAAAAGAAACTAACCTTCTTGTAGAGCTTGATCCAGGTGAGGTCGCCCTTAGAATCGGTGTACTGTAGACCGAAGAACCAGACCTCCCGAAGGCCAATGGTCTTGACCACCTGGTCGAAGAGCTGCTTGCCAGTAGTGGTCTGCTGGATCGCGAACTCCAGCTCCGCGTCCATCGTCGTCACCCGGACGTTCATCTGAGGACACATCAGACAGATTAGAAATAAAAACAAATGTTTGATCAAATACTGAACTCACTCGTGCATGTATTCCGTAAAAGTTACATATTATAAAACTCGATAAATGGTACAGATCGTCTGATCTCTTCAAACAAGGTTTAAAATAAATAAATGTGTATTATATTTAGTTTTAATATAGCATTGTATCATTTATGTACGTAAATAATGTAATGTAGTAAATACAGGATACGTGCGAGTAGTATCTTTTCCAGCAAACACATAAAACAAGCGTATAATATTATACAAACCACAAGATTTATACAAAATAGCATATGAAGATTGTTGATTTATGTATAAGATACACATCGACTATGAGAAATAGGTCTAAAATTAGCAACAACTGCATATATTTACTACGAGCTATTATTACTGTAAGCACGAGTATTACAGTATAATAATAGTTAATATTCTAGCAATTATCTACATAAATATACGATAGATAACTATACGAAAGCACTGACTGATTCAAATTCGATTTGAATCCGTCATTCGATTTGAATCTAGAAAACTCGAGCCCATACGATTCGAATATTCTAGAGATAAAATAATGATCCCTGTGACATTTCTAACCGTCATTTCCCATTTTCGGAACTGATATGAATCGGACGTAGTGCGTAAACTAGCGTAGCGAAAAAATCCTAAATCTATGGCGTAAACGCCCTGAAGGTTTGTCATATTGCGACAGTTACCTGTCGAGGATATGTTAGTGGCAAAGTCGAAAAAAATAATTTCTAAACTAAAATTAATTTCTTTTGAAAAGATGTCGTGAATAGTCTGCTGAAGATTAATTCTCCAACTCTGTGATCATAATCGTCTACATAACATTTATAACAGTTGACTGCCGTAATCGTAATCAGTCGTCGTTGTCAACCACATGAGTACACATCCAATTACATAGTTATTATACAAATATAGAAAAAGCCAGATGAACGAGTAAAAATCATTGTACAATGAACAACGAGGAAAAAAGACATATACCAAGAAATCACGTGTCGCACACCAAGGTGACATCGATGACCTTATACATCAAATCTCATAAGGAGAAGAAACTATAGAAGAGGTCGCAAATTGCATTCAATAGAGATGGTACGAGGATAAACTAACGGTCGAATTTATTACACGTTGAGAAGGTAATAAGGACATGACCACAGGTCATGGCTTTTTTTAGAAATTGCGTGATATTTCGAAGAATTAGAATTGGTTATGAAAGCAGTTTTGAGAGCCAGTTACAAATTCCAATAAAATCTAAGTTACAGTATAAATTTTACCAAAAAGAATTATTTGAAATTCATTCTGAAATTTTGAAAGTTAGTTAGCATTTTAAACAAATTATTGGAAAATTAAATTAACTTTAGGCTATCAGCGCGCAACAGTGGTGTAACTCACAACATCTTCATTATACAATATTACTTTAAATGATACTAAGGTACATAATTATTTCATACTTGGAAGTTGGTTTTATGTAAAAAAAATATTTAAATATTATATAGCATCCAAATGTAAAATGTACGTACGTAGTACCTTGTCTGATCAAATTAATGTAAACCTATTATGTATTTACCTTCTTCAACTTGCTTTTCCATTTTATGAAAATGCGGGTCGGATCTGTTTTGCATAACTACATTCAATTATGAAATCATAGAGGATTTCTTAATTATGACAGATTTGTGTGTTGTAAAAAGTGTGTTGCAGTACAGTAGACGCAACGAAAAACTGGTCTTTTCCGTTTGATTTACTGTGTAGCTTCGCAGCATAATATAAATAAACTCTCCACGGATATAACACGACTACCTACCACGTTTCCTGATATAAATGTCATCTATTTCGATGGCAACAACAAATGTTCCAAACGATCGAGATAATATAAAGACGACAGCTGCTAAAGCTAAAACGGAGTCACGGAAGGCAATTAATTGAACGTATTCCCTATATAGAAAGTGAAATGAGACAAAAATAAAAGTAATCTGAAATAGAGAAGCACAGATAGATAGGATCTAATTTTAATGGTGGAGCTCGTGCCAAGCGGATGCGGTCTTCCGGGGCGATTATGTCATTGCTTGTGTTTACATCGACGTAGACTCTTTATTTCAGCAAATAATTTCAAATTATCCACAATCTACATAAAAGTGGTTGTTTTTTATTAATCGTGGAATATACCGGTGTTTTTAATCTTTTTTTCTATGATATCAACCGAGAGACAGGACGACCAATTTATGCGCCTGGTGGTAAGCGAAATGCCTATCCGTGTCAGTTGTTGTACTACTCAAGAGCTTTAAATCGCAAAGATCTGAGGAGCACTGCCACTGCGCCCGTCACCCTGAGACATAAGTTGACAAGTCCCATGTGCCTGTAATTGCACCAGCACAAGTACCTTTATCCTTCAAAACTGCTTAATAGATTCATATATATAAATTATAGTTTAATTGGTTTGCACTTCAAGTTTATGATGAAATACGTTGATAAGAAAAACCCAAAAAAAAAAAATTAGGAAACGAGTATTGAATTTTCATAGTTAACGTGAGGAAAACCTCTGATATGCTAACTATTTTATTAATTAATTGGCCAATTCAGAGATTCGCTATCAAAATCTAGGGAACTGTTTATAAACCACAATTTTCCATTAAGTGTTGATGATAATAATAAGTTTGCGATTATTATCTGTGGTTCATGATGGTAATGTACAGATTTCAACGAAGGTTTTACAAGCAAATTGTTAAGTGAGTACAAAATGCGTTATTCTACATATGTGGTGGATTGTTTCATTTGCAGCGATGCGTCAATTAAGTGCAGTCGAGGCCGTTGCCAAGTATTCCCCTATTATTAATGATTTATCACCTACCAACCCGCATCGTTTATGTAGTGAATGCAAATTTTCAAGATTTTTCTTTTTTTAACTTCAATACCTATGCAACTTTGCTAAGGTGGTGGTGGAGGAGTCTTATTATTATTGCTATTTATTTTATTTTCCTACAAAAGTATTTCAGTATTCATATTATTATTATTATATATATAAGAGTATAATATGATTTTTATTTGTGTGTGTATTCTAATAATGTATGTATTTCATATTATTGTTCATATATTTACTTCATTGATGAGTAGTTTATTTATTCATAACCACTTTCATTACAAGATATTCTTTGGTTGCACCCCCCATTCCAACTGTTAAATTTCTATCCTAAGGTTGTCTGGAAGAAATTGTTACTCGGCATTAAGGCCGCCTGCTGTACATTATCTTCCAATGTGATACTTACATTACTGTTCTGTTTTGTCATTGTAATTTTTAATGTGCAATAAAGAATATTTCAGTCATTCATTCATTTCATTAAGGAAAATATTTTTTTTTAATTTGGAAGCCATAATTCTATGGCTTGTTGTTGGCAGTGTTGAAAGCATTTGTTGGAGACAGATTATTATTACTCTTTTTTATACCAGAATGTAGCCGGTTTTCTAAATCTGCCCATAAATTTCCCAGTAGATTTATTGATGAATGACGATGTAAAACTTCAAAAATAATAGTTTGCTCAGTTGTAATTTTACACCAAATGTAAACAGCCCAGGTTCTTCCAGCACAACTTATTCCCTATGCGGAACGCGAGAACAAAGTATGTTTTTGGTCTTACTAAGCAGAGTTAGTAGTTTTAGTAGCAGCAGAGCTCCTTGTGAAAGAGTTCGTCCAGGGAAATACTGCCATCTCACCTATTTCTGTCGCCAAGCAGTATGTGAGCATTACTACGTTCCGGTTTGAAGGGTAAGGGCGCTGGTGAAATTACATACACACGGCACTTGTCAACTTACGTCTCAAGGCGACGAATGCATTGGCAGTGCCCCTAAGATCTTTGCGATTTAAAGCTCTGAGTGGCACTGCAACTGTTATGGATAGGCGTGTCGCTCACAACCACGCACACGACTGGTTCGCCTCGTCACTTGGTCACAAAAAAAAGGTACTAATAAAAACAAATCCTGAAAATCTATGGTTTTTCTTATAGTGACAAAATTCGGTGGCCAACTAAGTTCTCGTTGTAAAGGTGTAATAAGGCAAGATGTAGGATGGAAATGGATGGAAAATAATTATACCCGCAGACAATAGCTTGTTATTAAAGATAATTTCTATGAGCGGTGTGTGGTTAATGGTTGAAAAATAGTTACGAAAATGTAAAAATACATTAAACATGAAGTTTTAAATAGCTAAAAAAAACAAGAAAAAACATCATTAAGTTTTAAATAATAGCTAAGTAATGCACGAAAGACGATGATGAAGATTAAAAGAAAAGCTAAAAAATACACGAAAGACGATCATGAAGTTTTAAAGAATACACGAAAGACGGTCAGGAAGCTTTACATACGTACTTGTGGTGGTTCATGATCGTCCTAAGATTGTACATAGAGTACACGAAAAGCTTAGAAACTCTACAGAAGCTCTACAGACTTAGTAATAAGCAGACGAAAAGATTAGAGACTCTACAGAAGCTCAACAGACTTAGTAATAAGTAGACGCAAATCTTAGAGATTCTACAGAAGCTCAACTGACTTAAGTAACAAGTAGACGAAAAGTTAAAAGATTTTACAGAAGCTCAACTGACTTAAGTCGTAAATTGACGAAAACTTAGCGACTACAGAAGTTCTACAGACTTGGTATTAATACCAAAGACGGTCGTGAAGCTCTAAGAGACAAGTTAGTACTTGATAAACTTGTTTCACTTCATCTTAACAAACTTTTGTAAAATCCATTAATCATTGTAACATAGTTAAACGTAATACGGTAGTAACAAGTAAAAATAGCTAAATATTGCGTAAAGACATTTACAATTTACATGTACACAATTGTGACATCATCTATTTGACATCTACATGTATATATTTAAATTTTGTACAACAAAAAAATTTCATATTCTTTGGCAAACAATACAGATCAACACAGTTGTCTGGTAAATAATAGAAGTAACTACTTATTAGGA